CTTGATCTCTTCTGCTGAAACAGAGTGAGTCAGACATTGATTCATCTCACTGGTTACTCTGCTTTGAAAACCCAGAGACAAAGTATCAAGATCGTTCGGATTAGAGCTAGTGAATAAATCTTTAAAAAAATCCACCACCAAGTTTCCTTTAACCCTTCAGAAAAATGCTCTTGTCCCAACTCATCCAACAACATCATAATACGATTTTGGATCCTTCTTCCTTTCACACAATTATGAAAGTATTTCGTATTGTGATCCCCATATTTGAGCCATTCTTCGCGACATTTTTGTCTCCGAAACAACTCTTCTTCGCTCTGAGCCTCCGAAAAATCATGCTTCACTCATTTCATGAGATCATATGAGGGAGTTAACTTAGCCACCTCATTCTAATTCCTAGTGAATCATATAACTCTTGATTCGAAGTTCCTAATAGACTCCGAATCTCTGATTTTGATGAGAAACATACCTGACCATCATACCAAAGTAAACCGATGGCATAACCATTTGGCAAGACATCAAAACTGTTAAAGCAAAACCAACAGAATTCCTCATATCATCTTGGCGGGTGAAAGGAGTAAGTCACAATTGGGGATTTAAAACAGAGAACCATGCTTACAACTGGCTCTTCTTCGATACTATGAATTATGAACCTCTTGATGGTATAGTTAATAATACCGTAGCTAGTTTCGACACATCGCTCACTCTTTACTTGTACCTATCAAGATATGATTATGAAAAGTGTGGCTTTAGCATTGAGAGAGATTGTGCAAAAGGGAGTAGTTCGATCGCTGGATATATTCCTCTCAAATCTTGCACTTGCTTGCACGAGATCTAAAGAAGAAACTAGCAAATTCGTTTTCATGTCATCAGGAGGAATCTCTTGAGTTCTGAATACTGCATGTTTTTTTTTTGTCTTTTTCAGATCATACAAACGTTTTTCTTGTCTATTTGATAGAAGTAGTTCTTGTGAGCTCTTATGTCATTATTAATACATACTTCTGGTGTGAATAATTTGATGCTCTGAGCATGTTAATAAAGAATGGTAAAGCTCAGTGTTTTTTTTTTGCGATTTCTCTAAATTTGGGACGATGGTAGGACATATATGATATGTATACTTGTAACATGTAAGAGCATATGATAAAACTGCAGAATCTTATAAATATCAATGAAATAAGTAGGATAGAGTTACAATACTATGAAGCGAAAAAAATCGATCTTTTATTCTATAAGTAATTTAAATACTCCCTCTGTTTTAATATAAGTGTCACTCTACAGCTATGCACACGGATTAAGGAAACAACTAATTTTACATATTTCCTATATAAAAACACAATTACCCACACACCTAACCATATTTTAACCAATAGAAAAACAAATTATATAATAAAATTAATTAATTTTGCATTGAAAACTGTAAACGACACTTATTTTGTAACACAAAAAATTCTCTACAACGACACTTAATATAAAACGGAGGGAGTATAACAAAACCACAGTTGAAAGTAATAATAATCTAATAATAGTTAAACATTAGAATCAGGCGTCTCAGAACCGGGACAACACTTCTTAATTAGATAGGGACCATACATGTACGAAACAAGTACCAAGATGAGGATGCCCAACACCACGCCGATGACTGCTGACAAATCAATCACGTTCATCTTCTTCTTCAACAGAAAACCAATTATTAATCTTTCTAAACTTTGCTTTTCTTCTTCTTTTTCTCGTGTACGATTACTTATATACATGTATTGTCAACACTTTCTAAATACACTTTTCATTAAAGTAAAGTAACTAGGAAAAAACTGAAAATTTTAGATTTGTTTACATTTACGGTTATGGTTAAAATGTTTACATTTACGGTTCTTTTTATTATTATTTGTCACGCATACACAGATACACTATAATATTCTTACTAAAACATTCCAAAAAGCTGAGAAGTTGTGATATTTAGTACTAGTAAAAAATATATCTTTCATATATATGTATATCACTATTCCCCTTTTTTTTATTCCCATTAGTTGTCTAGCTTATATACATGTTACGATAGGCAACAAGGCCAACCACATAATCAAGACCCGTTTTGAGTAAACCTAGAGACCGGGATCCTCGTCAGTTATCATTACTCATTAGGATCAATTGATCAGGTTGTAACTTGCAACTACTGCAAACTAAGCTAAAAAAAATGTATGTTGCAGAGGTTCAATCGCCACTGCTACTATCCAAGAGATCTACAAGAGTAATATTTCCATTGCTGCATTGGTCGAGTTTGTCAAACTGTTTTGAGATTTTTGTTATGTCTTTTATCTGTTATGTTTTCCATCTCCTTCAGTTTATAAATCACATAATCAACATGGTAACCGACATAACCGAGAGATAAAACGAATCCAACCCAACAAGCAAAATATCAATAAAACCAAACCCAACAAGAACAAACATGATCGAGATTCGAGAACAGCTTAGTAACAACACTGTTGGGTGTAAATGTCTCCGTAACCGATCATGCACATTGTAACGATACAAATAGTATAATGATAGAGTTTTTTAAATCGAACAAGAAAAAACGAGAGTATATTATTGAATGAAAGATAACAAGCTTTGTAAGTTCAGATTTAGATCTCTATCTCATATCTTCATCTACGATCTCATCACAATCGTTCTCAGACTCATAGCGTCTACAAATCACATACAAAGCCTAAGAAATACAAATAATATTCAAATCCTATTGAACTCTCATCTCCAGGTTACTTTTTCTAACTGCAAAGACTCTGTCCCAGAACAAGTCTTCTAACTGCAAAGACTCCGTCTCATCCCGAGTCTTCCAAAGACTCTGTCTCACCCAAAGGCTTCTCGCTAACAACTCCCTCCACATTTAAATTCTTCTTCTTTTGTCTCACATAAGCTTGTTGATACTTATCAATACTCCCTCTTTGGAAACCAAGCTAGTTTAAAATTAAATCTAAACGATTTAGCCATTTAAGACATGCTAATTCTTAAAATAGTTTCTTAATTTTGAAGAAATATCTCTTGCTGAGTACTGTCTCTCTTACGTTTAAGACTCTCCCATCCTTTTCTAGAATGTTGATATATTATGCAAAAGAAAAAGAAAATGATTAAATATCAGCCTCTTAACAAACTCATATCTTTAGGTGAGAGTTTGAGAGATTTCTTTTGACTTTTTGGGTATAAATTTTTTGATCTAATGATCGAATATTACCTTTCGTTTGCAGATTTCATTTTCGTTTGATGATTTTTGCTTTGCTTTTCAACTCAAATTTGGACCAGTTCTTCATGTTCTTAGAGTAGATTTCCGTATTTGGTTTGAATCTAATAAAGCCCGATTTTGTTTTTATCTGTTTATGTATACCCCCTCTTTTGGCAAATCAATTTTATTCCGTTTGTCTTTATATTGGGTCTCTTCTTCTCGGTTATTCTCTGATCCCCTTCTCATCAAGTCTAAATCTTCCTCTTTGAGATATGTTTATCATTTGTAATCGGGTTGATTATCTCAGATGAGAAGTAAGTACGAGTTTTGGATTTAACTTGGTCGTTTGTTTGAAGGATTCACTAGAGTTGGCAATATTCTTGTCATGAAGATGGTCCAATAAAGAGTCTTTTCTACACTGATTAAAGTTTCTTCCAAGTAACAATTCGTCAGAGATTTAGAGTCAGTTGAATCTGAGTTTGTTCGATCGATGGAAAGGGAAGCAAAATTCAATTTGTGGGTCTTAAGAAGACGTTTTATTAATCAATATGCAATGACGAACGTGATTACAAGAGGACTAAAAGAAATGGAAAAGGTCGGAGCTTTATGAAAGCGCCAACGAGAATACAAGGGGGTTCGATCGGTTGATAAACCCTAAATCTTGCCGTCAGTATTCTTGTGCTTATTTTCGGATCCCCTTCACTTACACTTCTCTCGTCCTTTTATACTTTCAAATTTGTTCTTGTCTTGTTCGCCCTAAAGCTCGTCCAAAGGCCCAAAATCAGCCTCGTGCTCAATGGGCTTTCGGGCTGGCGATAACCTACGGAGATAGGTTTGACTCAACTATTTGTCCGGTTATTGAGGGAAACCGGTCGTTCAACTTTTCGGTTTGATCTCCTCTTTCAATCGAACTTTAATCAAACCGATTGTAAATGGGCTTAAGCCTGTTATTCGACGGCCCTTGAGGAGGGGTGTTCAATCCCTCTCCAACAGTATGTCCCCCAAGTTCGCTTGCAAGAAGCTCGTTCTCTTGGAAGGGGAATATGGAGAATTGGTTTTGAGGATGACAGGCTCGAGTTACTTCCGTCTCCGTTTGAACGGTCGTTCTATCTTTGTTTTTAACTTGCACTCGATCGATCAGATGTATATATATGTAACTCCGTGCGTTTGATTCAGATTGGCTTCGTCTCGTTGTATTTTCTGACGAAAGAGTGACCATTTCGGTGGGAATTAATGGATATTTAGGCTCATTAGGTTTAATGGATTCTCTGACCTCGATCTCCGTGAGTTTCATTATAAATACAATATCCTTCTCCCATATTTTATTCTTCTCCACTCCAAGGTATTCGTCTCTCTTTCCCTTCTCTCTTTTCTCTTCTTTTATATTTTTTTTTTGTTGAGAGTGAAGCTCAATCGCTCGCCGCCGGAAGTGATATCGCTCGCCGCCAGAGTTTTGCTGCGCGCCACCGCTGGAAATTTGCTGCCGCCGGAGGCAGATCTGTAGATTCGTTAGGCTGTCCGATCGATGAGCGCTTCAAGAGAAAGATTCACATCGGCTGAGAAGGGAAAGGGAGTTCGACCTACTCCAAGCCCATCGGGGTAGCCGCTGCCCGATCTCGTGCTCCGATGCTCAGTGGCCGGTACTCGCCGCGGTGCTTCGATCGACGAAGCTTGTCTGGATTTCGGTTGATCTGATGGCGTCGATGGCTCTGCCCGGGAAGATGGAAGCGAGCGATGTTCAAATGATGATGTGGAGGTGTTTGAGTTAGAGTATTCAGAGGGAGGTTCTTCGAAGATGAATAAGACCGAACGATCTCCGGTCAACACGGATGAAGCCAAGGGATCCCCGACGGGAGATCCGGAAAACGACGGCGCGGCAGAGGATGATATCGCCCAGTCCTCTGAAGGAGTTGATGAAGTTGATCAGACTCCAGTGATCGCGGGTGGTCTCGCCGCGGGAGGCGAGGTTGAATGGGATGCAATCGGAAATGGTGAGGCCGGGCGATCGTCAACCGGGTCTATGGTAAGTGGGCGATCGATTCCATTCTATTACCACAGGAATAGGGTAGTCGAACAGTTGCCAGATATTCCTTTAAGTCAAACTCGACCGTCCAAGATAAATGGGCAGAATTGGGCTAATGTATCGCCTACGTGGTCTACCGAGGAAGGGTTAGCTACATTGTTAAGGGGGCACAGGGTGTATAGCGTTACGTTTGTCATCCCGCGTCCCTACCAACGTCCGTGGACTCCACCTGTAGGCTTTCACTGCGTTTATGAGTCCTTTTTTTAGAGGGATTCAAAGTTATGGTTTCCTATCCCTCGTTTGGTTACTTCGTATTGCGCGCATCGGGCCGTTCCGATGTCTCATTTGATGAATGGGGGTAATGAGATCTGCTGTCGCTCTGATGGTGATGGCGGCTGAAGTTGATGTTTCAATGAGCGTTCGGATCTTTGAGGAGTTGACGCAAATACAGCCGAAGACGTGTGATCTGTATGCTTTGCAAATGCACGCGAGGTTGCATATCCTGTCCGGACATCCCACAAAGACCAAGTATTGGCAGCGCTCCTACTTCTATATAAAATCTGATGAAGCTGCTTTCGAAGAGCCGCCGGACGATCGTTTTCGTACTTCATGGAACTACCATATTGGTAGTTTAAAGTTTGTTTTTCTGCTGTTGTTGGAATTTGCTGCTGAAAGTATGTCTTTTTCTTGTTGTTTTTTTTTTGGCAGCTCCTCATCCCAATTCTATCAATTATCCCGAGCGATTTCGGGAGGGCGTTACGAGAATTGCTGCGCTTAGCCAGAGTGACTGTGGCGATTTCGACCGGAGTAGGATTCGTCGGCAGCGTGACCGAATTTCGCGAGGTAGTGTATTTACTTCGTCTCTCCTTTAAAAAAAAAAAAAGAGAGTACATTTCTTGGATTTCCATGGCGATCGATCGATCGGTTTATGTGGTTAATATGACTTCGTCTTTTTGTTTTCAATTGATTGGGCGTCTGATATCCCTTGTAAGGACGTTAAAGGCAAGAGATTACCACTTCCATTGATGGGAAAAATTCCGCGAGTGTACCTCAACTTTAGTGAGATTCTGGACACTCAACTGGGTGATGCGAATTTCGACCCGACTGCCGCATTGGAGGCCGAAAATGAGAAGGCTGGGGGTTCACTTGGCAAGGGGACCGATCCTCCGGCAGAAGAATTAATAGCGGATGAAGTGCTCGATCGGGATTCTGACCCCCTTCCGAAGAAGAAAAAGAAAAAGCATAAGTCGTCTAGAAGAGCACAAGTCAACTCAGCGGAAGTTAAGACCGCTGGGGCAGAGGTTGCTCACGAGGATCTTCCGGATGGTGCTCGTGGAGGAAGTCATGAGGTCACGCAGGTGACAGGTTCCAAGAATTTACTTGGAGAGAACTTGACCGGGGGATATCAGATTGATCCGCCAACAATGAAGAGGAAAAAGCCGATCGATGGTGACCCTAGTGATTCTGGAGGTAAAAGGTTGAGCGATACCGACGGTCAGCCTGCTCTTTCTTCTAAAGAGATTATGCCACCAGCCTCTCGCAACTTACCTTGGGGTGGATCGGGTCCGCCAACCAAGAAACCCCGCTGGCCCTTTTGGAGCGTTGGGATTTTCAACATAAGAAAGACACACCTTTTGTCAACGATCAGGGAGCCTGCGCTGAGCTATCCCGTCGTATCAGAGGTGGCACACGCGAAATGCCGAAAATCCGAGATCTCGCATTTCTGGAAAAGTTCGCTGAGTCGGCTCGCGCGGATGCAGTGGTAAGGTTTTTCCCTTTCATATAAATTCAGTCGCTCGTCCTTATAACTCGGGGTGGATCTCGTCGCCGTATAAGTAACCATTATTGTTTTCGTTTTCGTAGGCCTCTGCTCGTAAGAACCACCTCATCTTGGAGTGCGAACTCGCTATGCGGAAGATGGCGTTTGATCTTGAGAAGGCTGAGACGGTGATCAAAACAAAAGATGCAGAGTTGGAGAAGACTCGGAAGAGTGCCTTGGAGAGGGTGAAGGAAACCGCTGTGGAGCGCAATTGCAATCAGCGTGAGCGCAACCAAGCTATCGAGAGAGCCGATGGCCTCGACGAGGACTTGGAAAATGCTCAGACTAAAATCGCGCAGCTGGAGCGCGAAAAAGTTGAGGAGGCCGAGAAACATAAGAAATTGATGGATTTCATGAAACAGGCTCGTGCCGGCGAAGTTATATCCGAGAGGGGCCGCCTCATGGCAGCTGCATCCACGCGTTTTAACAAATTTCGGAAGTACATGGCCGATCAGGATGAGTTAGAGACGAAGCTTTGTTTTCATGCCCAGGCTTCGGGGACTCTGCAGTCGTTGGATGTGCTGGAGAAATGGGGTTTGCAAGTCCCAAAGAGGATGAGGGATACCTTGACGGTCAACGAAAAGAAGTACAAGTGCGAGGTCGAGGAAGTCGATGTTGAGGAAATCATAGAGCAAGATCTCTCTTTATCCCCTCCTCGTTCTGGACCGCTTAAGGACCTTGATCAGTTTGGGACGAACATGGGATTAGTTGACTCTGCTACCGCGGTTTCTCTTCTTTCTCTGGTGGTCGTCGTTGGGAATGATACCGCTGCTCCGAGTTCGCATGGTTATGTTCATTCGTCTGACGCTAAAACGGAAGGCGCGTCGGGTGGAGTGTTAATGCCAGCTGCTGGAGCTGAGGATGATGTTCTTTCTGGGGAGAAGGCGAAAGTCGTCCATGAGGGTTCGATTGAGGAGATAGAGGTTTCCGCCAAACGGTCGGCGATGGTTCACTTGATCCGAGCATTTGATTTGTCTGTTGTTGTTCGTTTGTGTTTTGGTCTTCTCGGCATTTTGTTATGATGTATTTTGTGGATTTAGCTCCGTCTTACCGCGGTTTGCTGTTGTTGTCTTTATGTTTCATGTAAAAAAATTCGGACTTAGTCTTTTCATATCCAATCTTTTCGCCTTCGTTCTTCTTTTTTTTTTGTTAAAGGTCGATTGATGTTTACTCTGCAATCGATCGGCCAGCCGCAAAACTCTATGGTCCTTGGTGTATGACAAATTTTAACTGATCGATCGATCAGCCACCCTTATGTGCTTCAGGTCGCCTCGCTGTTCGATCGGTCGGCCAGCCTTCAGTTCTGTGGTTTCAACTAATTGCTACTGCCACTTGGTTGGGACGTTTGTCTTTCGAGGATGGCCAGTGCGCCGGAAAGGAATTGCTCGGCCGGCCTTGTGCGTGACTGATCGGAATGAGGCGATCGGTCGGCCTTTGTTGTTGGCTTGTTGGAGCCATTTTCTAGAGCGTGCAAATGATCGACAAGGGACCGCGATCGATCAGTCAGCAAGCCTTATGTGCCTTTGGATTGATCGGTCAGCCAGGTTTAGGTGCCAAATCGAACTATGATAGGGATGCTTGTTGATGACTAATCTGGTAGAGAAGCCTTGGTGCTCGTTTGTCTGATCGACAAAACAGACTTTAGCGTTATACTTTCGACCGTTATCGTCAAGTTGAGATGACGTGGAGTCATTCACTTAACATGATCGCGAAAGTTTGTGTGAAAAATCTCATTGCTACCAATCGAGTTTTTGGTTTTTGTTTAAATTATATCTGGACCTCGTGAGATGCTGCCTACGTACCCAAAGAGAGGGATCAAGCCATTCGTAGTTTGATTTGGTCGAACGATATATCATTTGCCTTTCCGGAGAAGGGGCAAATGTGGTCGCTCGGTTCCTTTTCTTTTCTTTTTTTTTGGGCGATGGACCACGACTTTTCCAAAAAAAGTGAAATGTGACATCGGCCGCTCGCCCCCCCCCCCTTTTTTTTTACGTTCGGTCGCCAATTTGAACTAAAGAATAATATTTGCGGAGATTCGAGGCGTTCCACGACCGTGGTAATCGTTCGCCTGAGGATGCCTCCAATCGATAGACTTCGGGCTTAATAACTTCGATTATCTTGTACGGTCCTTCCCAGTTGGTCCCAAGTTTCCAAGATTTCCATTCCTTAGTGTTTTCGAACACTTTTCTTAGGACGAGGTCGTTAAGTTCCAATGGTCGCGCTCGTACTTTTTTGTTGTAATAAGTCTCGGCGAGATGTTGATAGTTCTGAATGCGTAGGAGGGTGTGATCTCACCGTTCTTCGATGCGTCGATGGCGTCTAGAATCATATCTCTGTTGAGATCGGCATTATGGGGCATTTTTGCTCGACACAAACTGGTGACATTAACTTCCGCTGGGGCCATTGCTTCAACGCCATAGGCTAAGCAAATGGGGGTTTGACCTGTCGCGCTTCGTGGGGTCGCTCGAAGGGACCAAAGGACTCCGTCGAGTTCGTCTGCCCAATGTCCTTTTTTGAGATCAAGGCGCTTCTTGATCCCATTGATGATCGTCTTGTTCGTCGTTTCTGCCTGTCCATTACCCTATGGGTAACGGGGGGTCGATGTGCTGAGGTGAATCGCCCATCTATCGCAGAAACCGCGGAAGTTGTGTGGATGAACTGCGAACCGTTGTCCATGATTATTTCATATGGGAGACCGTGCCGGCATATGAAGTTCTTCAAGATGAAATTTTGCACTTCTTTATCTGTTACTTGAACGAAAGCTTTCGCCTCCACCCACTTGGTGAAATAGTCTGTCATGACGAGAATGAATCTACGTTGCCTGGAATTGGGTAGAGGTCCGACGATGTCCATTCCCCATCGCATGAATGGGTAAGGTGTCGTGGTTGTTCGTAATAGTTCGGTGGGTGAATGTATGCCCGAGGTGTGTCGTTGACACTTATCGCACTTTCGAGCGTAGGCTTCACAGTCGGCGACCATTGGTTGCCAGTAATGTCCTAGACCCATGATCTTGAGGACTAACCCTCGTCCGCCGGAGTGATTGCCGGCTCCCCCTTCGTGGGTTTTGGCCATGACTAGACGAGTCTCCTCGCCATTGATGCATGTTAGAAGGACATTGTTGGCTGTCCGGCGGTAGAGCTTTCCGTCCATGACAATGTAGTTCGAACACTTGACTTTCAATCGGCGTGCTTCCCACTTATCCGCCGGTAGCGTTCCGTTGATCAAATAGTCAAGGAAAGGGATTCCCCAGTCGGGGGGTTGTGCATTTGCTTCGTCGGTCGACCCGTCGATCACCATATCCTCGGAAATCGACGTTATAATTCTGATGTCCTCCGAAGGAAATGAAATACTCGGTCGATCGATGTGTTGGATGGGAATCGTACAACTTATCTGATCGCGGGGGCTACTACCAAGCGCTGCTAGGGCGTCGGCACAAACGTTCTCCCCGCGTGGGATTTTCGTTATTTCGAAGGAGTCAAATTTCTTGACGAGGTCTTGAACTACTCGGAGATAGGCGTCCATTCGTTCGTTTTTTGCTTCGTAATCTCCGCTCAATTGATTGGAAACTAACTGAGAATCATAGTACGCGTGGACTCGTTTTGCCCCAACGGCCTTGGCGAGACGCAGTCTAGCAATGAGTGATTCATACTCCGCTTCATTGTTAGATGCTTTGAAATCCATTCGGAACGATTGGCGTATCAACTCACCCGTTGGCGATTGTAATTGGACGTCGATGCCAGAGCCTTTCGTGGAGGACGAGCCATCGACATGCAGTATCCAGATACCCGTTGGCAGAATGATGTCTTGCTCGAGCTCTGGAGGCAGCTCGATTATAAAGTCGGCCAGGACTTGAGACTTTTCGGCCGGCTTGCCTTGGTATGTAATGTCGTGTTCGCTGAGTTCGATTGTCCACTTGGATAATCGGCCTGACTGGTTTGTATTCTGCATTAACGTGCGCAAAGGATGATTGGTTAATACGACGATCGAATGAGATTGAAAATAGGGCCTGAGCTTTCTTGCTGAAGTAATGACCGCAAGGGCCATCTTCTCGAGGGTTGAATATCGTGTTTCGGCGTCACTCATCCTTTTGCTTGTGTAGAATATCGGCTGTTGCTCGCCGCGATCTTCTTTGATAAGGACGCTGCTGACGGCGATCGAAGAGATAACGATATAGAGATAAAGTGTGTCCCCTTTTGCTGGTTTAGCTAGTACAGGCGGCGTGGTGAGGTAGTGTTTCAGTTGGTTGAAAGCCTCTTCGCACTTATCGTCCCAGACGAACCTCTTGTTGCCACGCAACAGATCGTAGAAGGGGAGGCATTTGTCGGTCGATCGTGAGATAAATCGATTGAGCGCTGCTACTCGTCCTGTTAACCGTTGCACTTGCCGACTGTTTTAGGGCTTGGGAGATCTGCTTCGAATTAGCCTTGATCCCCCTTTGCGTTACGATGTAGCCAAGGAATTCTCCGGATGTAACTCCAAATGTGCATTTAGCCGGGTTGAGATTCATGCCGTATTCATTGAGTGTGCGAAAACAATCGATCAGATGACTAAGGTGATCGGCCGCGAGGCGAGATTTGACCATCACGTCATCGATGTAAACTTCCATTGTGACTCCCAATCGGTTTGCGAACATTTTGTTGATGAGGAGTTGATAGGTTGCGCCTGCGTTCTTGAGGCCGAATGGCATGACGTTGTAGCAATAGGTTCCTACATCTGTGATGAATGCCGATTTTTCCCGATCTTTAGGGTGCATCATGATTTGGTTATATCCTGAAAAGGCATCCATGAATGATAATAACTCGTTTCCAGCTGTCGATTCGACTAGGCGATCGATATGTGGAAGCTGGAAGCTATCCTTCGGACAAGATTTGTTCAAATCGGTGAAGTCGACGCAAATTCTCCATTTCCTGTTCTTCTTCTTCACCACCACAGGGTTCGCGAGCCATCCGGGATACTTGACTTCTGTTGAGATGAAGCACTAAAATGGTTCACACAAAGATAAAGAATGCAAGGAGATGTCCTGGATAAGGAAAGATGTTTTTGGGTACATCCGTACAGTTTAGGGTTTTGTTGGTACATGTGTACGCCTAGAGAAGAATGTTGGTTGGTACACGTGTACGGATGCATCTTGGCAACCTAACTTTGATTCTAAGGCAAGAATGGGATATGTCTAAGCTTAGGCAACTCGTGGGATCACTCCCAAAGACAAGAAAAGGGAGTTAAATAAAGGAGTGGACCCTTGGAGCTAGGTAACAAGAGAAGATCACATGTCTTGGTAAAGAAGAGAGAGGTGGGGAGAGATGTCACTATCACACCATCTGTTTGTGCCTTTTGTCTTCTAGGAACCTCTTTGTTTATTGTTTTACCTTTGGCATCATGTGACCCTTGTAGATCTTTATTAAGCATGTAACCAGAACCAAAATGAAAAGGAAAACATATTCTTCCTTATTCTCTCTTTGTCTCTCACTCTCTCTCTCTCTCTCTCGGATTCTTCTTGTTCTTAATCAATCTCAACCTAAACTCTCTCTAAATCTCTGTTCTAAATCTCTTAAACTCTTATGGTATCAGAGCATGTATGCTCTTGAGACCTATTCTCTTGTATTCTCATCTTACTTCCGCAAATCTCTGCTTTTTCGTACCTATTTTTGGAAAAGTTCTTGGTGTTCTTGAGTTGTTCTTCCCCTACTGCTCCAGAAATTACCAAAAAATGGAAACATTTTCTAAAAACCTTATTCCAGTTACTCTCAAAGGTGGGAACTATATTCTATGGTCTAGGCTTGCTAAAACAGCCTTAGGAGGAAGAGGTCTCTGGTCTTATGTGACAGGAGACAAGTATTCTAAAGAAACTGTCCAAGGAGAGGATGGTACTGAAGTGGTAGGAGGTGCGAATGGCAAATGGGCTCAGAAGGATCTCATGACATTGTCAATCATCCAAAGCAGTCTGGAACCATCTATCTTGGAAGCTTACTCCTACTGTGAGAGCTCCAAAGAGTTGTGGAATACTCTTAAAAAGGTATATGGT